TTGTCTTCTACGAGATGAGGATATCAAAAGAGCTGAGATGCATCTCTGGGAGACAGGGGATGCCTGGGACCTGCCCACTCTCCTGCCAGGAGCAAGGGCACAAAGCATCAGGCAGGGGTTTAGGGCACTCCAGGCAACACTCCCTTACTGAATTTTTCACCTATTAATTTTATCTGCTACTTGCCACTTCTGTGAAACTGTTGGTTTTGCTTAATTACAACTGGCACTGCTTTGATAAAGAGCGATGTGCAAGGCGCTGGCTCGGGAGGAGTCACGATGCTGTTTACAGAAAGGTTTTTTTTCTCTGATACCAAGTCCTTTCCGTTGTGCATTTTGTTGTCAGGATGGAGTACTATTTCCAGTAAAGTTGAAACTCATTTTATGAGAAGTGGTGAAATGATCTGTCCGGTGTCTTTAATGATTCTGTACTGTTACTCTAATGGGACTTTAGATAACTGTCATTGAAATGTCTGCTGCACCATCAGAAGGTTTGTCATTTTTTTCCCTGTAAGTCATCCTGAAGGGTGACGTGAGATGATACCATGCAGACATATCATCAGCATTGCCAATGAGCTGACCTTTTCCTCTTCATTCACTTCATTTGTATTTGAATAATTTGCATCTCTGTAACGATGCTTGGTTGTCTGAGTAGCTGTCACAACGGCTTGGGCTCATTTCATGAAAAAACCCAGTAGTTTCAAAAGACGAATGTTTCATTATTCATGAAAACTGCTGTTACTTTATCCCTCCTCCTGCAGAAGCAAGGTTAGCCAGCGAGGAACAAAACCTGTTTTGCATTTGCAGGACTGGCTATTTAATATTTTTACATGATGCAGTGTTTTTATACAAATATCTCATGATTTATTAAAAACTCTTCTTGTAGGAAATCTGGGTAGATACCCATGAGACAAAGAAGGTTAAAATGAAATTCTAGTCCCTTTTCATGGAGCAAGTATGTGTTTAAACTTCTGTGTTTTAAGACCTTTTATGTTTTCCCTGGTATGTTATTACTGTGAAGGGCAAGGTACTGTGTATGGAGTTACCCTTGCACAACGTGAGCCATCGTTATCCCAGCCACTTGGAATAAATTGAATGCCTGTTTCAATCTGAATCATCTTTTTTTTTACTTCTTTCTGTGTAGATTCTATAGATTCTTGTATATCACAACAAACAAGGACAAATTTGGGGAGAGAAGCGCAGAGAACGCTTGACCGGAGGCATAGGTTGTAAAGTAACAGTAGACAGAAGTGGAGAAAGACTTTTACGGCTAAAATAGGTTTCAGTTTCATTATTTTGGTGCACCGCACAGCAACAAAGTTGGGCGAAGGTCAAGAGGTTGCCTGTCACTGCCTTCTACTTCTTTTAGGATAAAGCACATGTGATCTCTACAGATCACTTAAAAATTAAAAAATCTTTTTTTTTAGTTGGTGATTATAGCCCAATGTCCAGTTTATCCATTTTCTCCTTCACTCAGTTTGCTACAGGAATTGTCCATCCATTCGTTACTACCTCACTGGTGAAATGCATCTTCTGAGATGGGAGAAATTGGTGTAGTAAAAGTAAAGTGAAGAAGCTGGGTTTGTGTAGGGGTTAACGTTGTAAGGATGAGTGACTGATTTAGGTTACGGTATTTATTTTTTGTTTTGATTTTTCTGTAAAGCCTTCCATTTTACTACACATTCCATAGTCTGAGGAATAAATACTGAAGCAACATTACTGATAAAAAATGCAGATGCAAAACTCAGTGTGAATGTTTTTAGCACGAGAGGAAGCAGAATATTGGTGATAAAAGGCATATATGTTTAAGAAAAAGAGCTAGGATTTAATTTTATCGTGCTTTACTTGGAGTGTAGCTGTAGTCTGGAAAAATTTATTTCTGTTTGTTGAGTTCATATATTCTGCCTACAGCTGTATTTGTCATAGTTTTGTGTGATTTTTTTTTTTCTCTCCATAGTTCTCTTTCACTCAGACCTCTTCGCTTTCTAGCTGGCAAGGATGTTGTTGGGGATGGTTTTGTATCTTCTCACGTGACATGAGGTGTCACTGTGCTAAATACATTATACACGGTATAAATAGAAATCGGGTTAAAAAATTTTAAAAAATCAGTAGAGGTTCTGAGTACTAGGAGCCCTATTTACTAAAGTTTTCCATACCTTAGAGCTTAATAAAATTTATTGCAAACAGACCTGTACAATGAACTGTTGTTAAGAGTAATCTAGGCCATGTGCCTGAAGCTGTTGTGGATTTATTGGAGACTGTTGGGGAAAAATGTGCTTACATGCATATTTAATTTCTAGAAAAAAAATATCATATTGCCAGTAATGATCCATTAACAGAAGAATGCAATCTGAATGCCCTCAATTAAATACTAAATACCGTTAGGCAGGAATGTTTTTCTAATATATCATTCACTTAGAAAAGTGTGGCACAATAATTAGATGAGAGCTGTTTTCCAAGTCCATTGGGAGACGGATTCTAAATATGTTTGACTGTTCAGAAACTAAGATTATTTGTTGTCAAAATATGACTGCAGGTAGCTAACTAGGACTATTTATGTGAGAATTTAAGCAGTACTGTGTACACAGCAAAAATCAAATACTGAGTGTGCATCTGCTCATGTACCACAGAGTCATGAGGTAATCTCGGAAACAAAGGCAAAATGTTTTTGTAATGTTCCAGTTGCGTCTCTGCCTTGCACATGCGTTGCCGTGCAAAATCCAGGAAACTCAACTGGCATTTGCAGAACTGAATCGTACTTCAACGCCAGTAAGAACTGATGTTGTTAGTCATAGTTTCAGGCCTGATACTTTTTTTAAAACCCACTCTACAGATTGTATCTAGGTGTTTTTCTGTACATTCTTGATTTCTAGTTTGATTCCTCCAGTCACTGTGATAACTCTTTTGTAGCTCATTTTAGCTTTTTTTACGTACCCAGCACTTGGTGGTCTTTGCATGCAAATGAAGAACTCTTAATGATCTCTTGCTGTAGGAAAAAATGGCCAAAACAAAACCACTCCTTACAGAGAAATAGATTAATTCCTTGGCCTTTTTTGATTTTTAAATGTGAAGACCAGCAAAGATGCGGTCTGCGGAAGGGGTACCTTACAGAAGCAGTAATTGTGTCACCTTTGTCTCCATGCTGTATTTGTGCTTTTTAATGATGAAGGCAGTCTTGGAACATTAAGAGCTTCTCCTGGGATGTCAGTTTTTGCTCAGGGTGAAGCACGATGGGCCTATTTGCATTCATCTTTCCACAGTGAACTTAATAAGCTCTGGATTATTCCTTGCTCTTGTAATTGCCATGTTTTTTTCTCCCAGTATCTTTTAGGGTCAAGATTCTCTTAAATTAATGCTAATTATAGAAAATCTCTTCTGATATGGGTGGATTTTGAAGCCCTTCCTTCTTGACTTTTGTTACTAGTGTTTTCCTTTTGGCAACATTTATGGAATATGTTTCCCTCTTTATATGTAGAAATAGGGATAACAGTAACCCTGGGGTTTCCTGAAATGCCCTTCTCATACCCCTTCTTAGATGGGAGTTGCATTTCGTCATAAATGGTTTACAACGCTGTTGCTTGGTCTTCTGTTTTCTTTAACTGCAAAGTCATCTGAAGAGAAATATATTTTAATTCTTCCCTAATTATTTTTGTATTTCAGACGATTCAGGAAATTAAAGCTGTTTTTGCAGCACAATATATTAGATCTGCTATAACCACATTTCATGTGATGTGATCTGGTCCAAATTCCCTTTTATATTAGATTAGTGATTCTAGTTTAACATAGAAGTATTTATTATGCATTATGGCATAATATATTTAATTTAATTTGCTTTTATGCCTTATAGTACTTTTAATAAAGCAATTATTTAACCATTTACTACCAATGAATTATACTATGATATTGAAATTAGTATTGCCTGTCATTCATGAAGTTACATTAAGCAAGATGGAAGTACCTTCTCAAAGAAAAAGGCAAGAGCCGCATGTAGACCCTACTACTGTGGTTATTTTGTCTTTCCTTCCTGAGTGTTGTAAGGAAATTTTTAAAGGGAAAATTAGGAAGTTGGCTTGTCAAACCAATGAAGTGCACGTGGCTTTCTAAGTGTGTTACTGTTTGCTTCAGGACACACTTTTGTATATAATATTTTGCTTTGCTTGTATATAGATTGGGATTAATAAACTACTTGGAATAGTGTGTTCATCAGCATTTGGCCCAGTCTCATTGGTTTTTTTCAGCATGTCTTAAACACACCAGGAGCTTTTTTGTACCAAGAGTGAAGGCAGATGAAACTCTGCAGAACCACCTGTCCTGGCTACAGCTGGGATAGAGTTAATTTTCACAGCAAGGTGATTGGGCTGACCCAAACAGCCAATCAAATGGGATATTCTATACCATGTGATGTCATGCTCAGTATTTAAGTGGGAAGCTGGCTAAAGGAGAGGCTTTTGCTACTCAGGAGCAAGCTGAGCATTAGGTGGTGAGAACACTGCATGCTATATATGCTTTTATCAGTATTATTGGTTGTTGTTTTCTTCTCCCTTTGCCATTCTGTTAAGCTGTTCTCATCCCAACCCATGAGTTTTTGCCTTTTTTCCTTCTGATTCTCCTCCCCATCCCACCGGTGAGGGGGAAGAAGTGAGAGAGTAACTGCATGGTTCTTTTGTTGCAAATTGAGGCAAAACCACATCACCACCATAAGGTCAACTGGTTGCAGCTGCAAAACAGACATCTTGTGTAACACTCACCAAGGCATTAAGAAGTTGATTGATGATTTGTAAAAAATCTTAACCATCTTCAATAGGCTTAGACTTCTGTTTTCAGTAGCATAAATCATATGGCTTATATGCCACTGGTATACAGACTAGATGCCACCAAGACAAATACACTGATATGGTAGTGCTTGGTTTCCCAGTGGTCTCCAATTTTTGTCGAAGTAATATCTGGAAAATTACTGTAGTAAAAATCCTGAGTTTTTTCTCTTTCTTTTCCCTTTGCTACAGTATGGCTATCCAAGTTGACAAGTTCAGTTTTGAGAGCTTCCCAGAATCCCCTGCCGATGGAGCACAGTTTGCGAATGCAAAGCAGCTGGAAGAAGAAAGGCAACAAGCAAAAGGTCTGGAGATTAACAGCAAGCTGGATATTTGCTGGAAAATTATATCCTTTCATAAATACTTGCTTTAAAAAATATATAAATAGATGCCCTATGACATTTTATTTTGTAATTCAACTCAATTTATAGCAATGTTACTGGAAAGAAAAGTAATTAGAACTATGAAGCTTATCATAATTATAGACTGTTTAAGGTTAATTGTGCTGTATATTATTTAGACGATGCTTGGGTCTTACTATAATGGCTTTTTCTGAGTCATTGAGCCTGCCACAAACCCTGTGTGTTTTTCTCAGCTTTTAGGGAACTGAGGAGGTATAGTTAGGATTGATGAGTAGTAGTTATATAGGGCCAAATGTTTCTATTCTCCCCCACACCAAGTAACTAAATCATGAAGAAATACATGAAGCTGAATTTAGAGTGTTTTCATAGATTTAATTTGAGCGAATCAGATCATATTAGAATAATTTATTTCCAAGTCCTCTTTACAGATTTAGTAATATATCTAATCTTAGGTAGCCTTTTTAAGGCTTAGAAAGAATTTGCATGATGACTTAGTCATTCTAAAGATAAAATCCCTATATTCATTCATTCCAAATGCAGTAAAATACTGCCTTATGATTATTAATATGAAATTGTGTTTAGAGTTAAAATAAACCAATGGTGTTGCTGTAAATTTCATAATTTCCATAAAAAATCTTGTGCTTGGCTTGTCAAAAATACACATTTTCGTGATTTTCATTAGGGAAACATTCAGTGCAGTCAGCAGCCCCCCAGGCCATGTTGATACTCAGCATCTTCCAGGAGATTGATATTTTTCATTCAGATTATCCTCAAATTCGTGTGATAGTGGGTAGCAGGGAATGAGAGAAGAGCGACGATCAAATAGTTGTTTATATTTAGAGATGTCTTTTTGTGCTTCCAATTGTATTTTATCTAGTGATCTGAAATGATTTTTAATTACTAATTATGAAATTAGCTGCACAGGATTAGTCAAATGCAAGACTTGAGACCCAAATGAGGTTCCTGATGCCTGGTTCCATCCAGACTCCTTCAGCAACATTTCAGAAAGAGTTCCATTTATGCAAAAATGACAATATTTAACTGGAACTCACTTAGAATATCTCTGTGTTATGGAAAGCTACAAATATTCTTTGATAGCATAGTTAAACTCTTATGCTGGAATTGAATGCGTAGCTGTCATAATTCTGTCAGGATGTAAAAATACTTCCTCATTCATTTCTGTTGCTGAGCAACACTGTTTACATCCATTTGGATTTCTGTGTTTAAACCCAGTTCTGATACCAAAACTAGCATGGCTGACATGTAAGTCAGAGACTTAGAAAACCAGTAGAACGAGGCATGAATTCTTTGTGTTAAATTCAGTGCGTTAGTTTCTGTGTTTTTAAGATTTGTTATGAATGTTCTGTCTGTTCCTATAACTAAAAGTAGTCTAATGGAAGGCAACAAATTGCACGGGTTTAAAAATTCTTCAAGAAACGTGTACATTTTTTTCCGGATTTCACATCCCAAATAGAGTCGGTCTTTCTCATTCTTTTATTTCTTACAGCAACATTTAGATGTGAACCAGTAAAAAAAAAAAATCCCCTCATTTCTGCTAAGTTTGAGAAACTTTGTTTCTGAGACATACGTCCTCCTGCCAGAGACACACTGACGGACAGACACACGGAGAAATGGATGGACAGCTTAACTGCCTAAGCCTTGCTTTCCTTCAGAAGCCAGCCTAAATGCAGCCAAGAGATTAAAAAGTGTTTGGAAAAATACAGAGGAATATAGTTGTTTATATTTCTTACTGGAGGAGGCATTTTTTCAGAAGTCTTTTGAATGGTGAGACCAAGTGATTGCTTTGGAGTCTACCATCTTTGATCTACTTTGATCTCTCCAGCTAACCTTTCTCTGCTAAACGTATGCATGAGAAGAGGAATGTGTATTTTGGAGAACACAGACAATTTTCTCATACGTAACCTTGCATTGTTTACAAAGGAAGGGCTATATTATGGAAGGACTATATTAATTATCTTGCAATTCCTTAAATTCTTACTGTGTTGGTTGATACCACCAAATCTTCAGGTTTTAAGTGTGTGGATTATATTGACTGCAAGGAAAAGTTAGTTATATGAAACTCCTGTGAGGGCCAAAAAAAGTTCACGAAGCGTGAGGGTTTCAGGTTGTATCTGTATTTCTTGAAGAGCAGCAGAAGTACTCTCCAGCATGGAAAGTCCATCTTCCATGGCTTTATCCATTGAATATTCAGGGATTCAGGTGATGAGATTTTCAGTGCTTCATTTGTGAAAGTATTGTAAAACTTCATCAGTTTTCATGTACTTCGGGAGGGCTGAAGGCAGGAGGTAAAGACAGTACAGCATATTACTCAATTCAACCTTTGGGCATTTTTGATAGAATCAGAATTGTGAAGAAAATAGACCTTCTTAGGAGAACGCATACTGCCATGCCATTTCAATTAAGAAAAATTCTGGAGTAGTGTAATTTATTTTATCTTTGATATTATAGGTGTATTGAGATCATTTAAATTAAGAACGTGCTGCCTTGCTTTTTTGGCATCTGTTAGATGGCATCTGGTATCAGCTTAACAACTGGGGTTTGTTTTAACACACGGTTTGAACAGACAGAACACAAGAAGTATTAAGGTGGCTAATACTTTCAAATTATGCTTCTCTTCATATTTTCTAAGTATTTTTAAACAAGATTTATATTTTCTTCAGAGACCTTCTGTGCATACTGACTCATGGATGAAGGCATCTGTACGACGTGTCCTTATCTAGACTAGAATGCTGTGTCAGTTGCTGAGTGCTCTAAGATTTTAATCTTCTTACTGATGCTTTGTACCTGACTTCTTCAAAACCTTCAGTTAAGAAACATCACATTCCCCAGGTGGAAGATGAAGGGCAGGTTGAACTTCTATTTGTGGTCTTTACACGCTCTGTGTTAGACCCACCATAGATTATTACTCTTCAGAGTATTCCCTTGATTTGTGCCACCTACATTTTGACTTCAGAAATTCAGATGTGTTCAGAATTATTTCAGAGAATTGTCACATGCAGGTGATCCTCATTTTTACTAGAATAAACAAAGATTTATCAGTGTTCAGATGGCAGAAGAGATTTTTCATAGGGAAAACAGAAAGGTTTGGCTACGGGTAAAATCAAGAACTTATTTATGCTTCACTTTATGTATTTTATTTTGTCATAACTCTTGCTGCTGCTTAATGAACAGTCTTTCCCTGTCCTCTAGCTCTGGGTCCCTCTCGTCGCCCTCTTGATGATGTGAGATAAGAACATCCTTGCCAGCAGACTTGCTAGTCTTGTGAGTCTAAATTTAAATGTGGTACCTTGCAGGATATCCGTCAAAGCCTGTAGAGCAGTGCAAGAAGGGGGGAAGCATGGGCAGGAGAAAGTGATGGGCTAGGATCTCTGTATCTATCCTGAAGTGAGATTGAGAGCCCATGTCAGATGCTTACACCTCAACTTGCAAAAGCTTGTGGAGGAGGAATTGGAGGTCACTGTGCGGTTGCAGAGCTCTGGTGTTGTCGGGATTTCAGAGACATAGTGGGTAGTTTGCGTGAACAGGGGGCACTGGCAGGTCGGTGTGGGTATCTAGGAAGGCTGGGCAGAGTTGAAGTGCAGGAGGAATTGTTAAGAAATGAGCCATGGGCCAGTTGAAAGCTTTTGGATCAAGAACAGAGCAGTCCAACAGGGTGATGTGGTGTGCATTTCTTACAGACCACCCAACCAAGGAGCGAAGTTGGACAAACTCTTCCTTTAAGAACTGGAAGAAGTCTTCCAGTTGCGGGTTAGGAGATTTCTGGAGTCCTTTAAGGACACTTGTGTACAGGTGCTGGATGGCTTGATTTGGCCTATGCTGTGTGGGATCTGCTACTTGAAAATAATGAAGATCCACACAGAGGGGTGAGGTCTGATGGCAGCCTTGGGTATAGTCTCCCCAAGATGGTGGAGTTTAATATCCTGAGAGAAGTGAGGAAGGCAAGGAACAAGGATAATGACAAGGAACTTTAGGAGAGGAGATTTTGGGCAACTAGTGCGTGAGATTGCACAGGAGACTGCGTCTGGGAGCAGAGGGGTCCAAGAGAGATGATGGACCTCCAGGGTCAGTCTTCTCAAAGCCCGAGTTGCACCAGTCAACAAGATACATCTGACTCTTCAAGCAAGGCGTATCACGAGGTGACTGTAGCAAGTTGCAGCCAGGTAAATTCTGATTAGGTAGCATGAAAAATCCTTTTCACAATGAGGGTGCTCAAATAGTGGAACATGTTGTCCAAAAGGGCTGTAAAATTGATGTCTTTGAAGATATTAAACAGTCCTGGACAAGGCCTTGAATGACCCGATGCAATTTCAATATTTTCCATGCTTTGAGCATAGGGTTGGGCAGTGACTCTGGAATTGCCTTTAAGTGTAAGTTATTCTGTGATTTGTGCAGCCATGCAGTGGGCTGGGTCAGAGAATGACTGTTGGAAACTTAACTCTTTTTCCTCCACGTCTCTTGCTCTTCCCAGGTTTGCTTGCAGCCAGAGACATTTTCTAATGTACTGTGAAAGAACTGCTGTTTCAGTGAAATGAGACTATAACATTTTGGAGTCATTTTCTTGAAAATATTCTAAACCTGAACCTAACAGCCTTTAAAAAAAGACTTCCAGTGCCACCTTAAATACCATATTCCATTTTTAACTTTTCTAATAGACCTTTTGTTTTTTTCCCTTCAGCCTTAATTTCTGTGATATATATGAAGCCTGTCCTATTTGCAACGTTTTCTTACTTTTTTTTGAAATTGTGTTCTGTGCCCCTTCCTCTGTTTTTCTATATTTAAACCTAATTGCCAACTTTTTTTTCAAAGCACATTTTCTTTCAGTCTTATTGCTGATGTTGTTCTGCAGTGTAGCTGTATTTCTCTGGATCCCAAGCTGGAATCAGTACTTCAGGTGAGGTTTCTCATAGCACAAAAGCTATGCCTTCCATGTTTCACATATGGTCCTTGCTCTGAGAACTAGTCT